TAATTAGGCCACCCACATTCACAGTCATGTGCCTCTGATGGTAACGCTTACAATTTTGGGACCTTTCACTCAGGGAAAATAAGGTGTAATAATTAAACAAAAACAAGGGTACATACTGCTAATCTGCCATCTCAGCAGTACAAGAACAGGCTTTAGTATACACTTTTAGTGGGTGTGAAATTAGAGAATGAACGAATGTGTGTGCCTTTTTACATTAAGAATCTATTTATTTTTTATGATATGTATGTTCGATAATGAAAACAAGGAGGAAGATTAAGTTTATATTTTGGCTGTGTGCACAAGTTATGTAACTTCCAAAGGTACTTCTTGTTGCGTGCGAATGTTCATGTAAGAGGGAGTCCGTCGTTGGAAAACAGGCGATTGGCTCAGATATGTTACGAGTATGATTGAGAGTTACTCGGTCCAATGAACGAACGCTCTTTGTCTCGGCCCACTGGCTGCCTGTAGAGGCTACGTGAGCGGAGTGTGTCTTTGGGACTGGGACGCTGTGCCGTTATGTCGGTTTTGTTACAGTTTGTATTACTCGTTTAACCGGATTTAAACCCGGCTGGAGGATGTTTAATTCTTGTCATGCTGACAAAGGATGTAGTTATGTTCACATTTTAATCGATAGTGCACGTGAACTGTGAAGTTTGGTCAAGTGGAAGCGTACATCTTGGGACGAGAAGTATCCACGGGATTTGCTTGTGGATTTGGTGCAAACTCGGTATGTGGATAATTATCTTTGGGTCACAAATATAACAAGGGGAACATCTTTAAAAAGTTGTTCATTGCGGTTCTCTCGTCTCCTTGTTGAGAATTTGTTTTACTTGCTGGGTCGTATTTCTGCATTATCTTGTAATAGTATGTCAGTTTACTTGTATATTTATTCCCTGAACCATGGCTAACAGTGTGTCTGCTTCTCAACATGTCCTTCTTGCTTTATTGATATTTACGTTAAATTGTTAACATAGTTGACGGAGGCACACTGATAATTAACCGTTTGCGTTGACGTTAGCCAACTTATGCTAACTTAGCTTAACCCTTTTACTGCCTCGACATCTTTCTTCATACAGCTCTGCTGTTGCACTGGACTTTCAAAAACTGTAAAGCAAAATACGTATGGCCATGCACATAATACACAAGAAGTGGAATTTTCACATAAAGGTCTTTTGGCTAACATGTGACGAAATTAGTTTGTTTTGCTTGATGGAACTCACTTTGATGGAAGCAGCTATGGATAATGCTAAAGTTGTCTTCCATATACAGTAAGTATATCCCGAAAGGCAAACGTCGAAGCATGAAAAGTACGTAAAATGGTTACGAGTGTTCCGACATCCCATTGATTTTTGCTAGGAAACCAAAATGTATGCAAAGTACATACCAACATATTTTAATGTAAATTGACTTTTTTCCCACAAACGTTTACATGGGGTTACTTTTTACTGGTTTTGAACAATTAAAAAAGCAGCGTTGAATTTTAATGTAATGTCAGTAGCAACAATCAGAGTGAAGTAGCTTTTCCTTTTTAATGTTCATCATGCAATATTGCTGCATGTTTGAATGTCCAGGAGATGGATAGCGTATGTGCTTTGCATGTGACTGTGTATATATTGACTATATAGTGTAGTTGACTTATGCAACGTGTTACAAATGGCCTCCACTCTCATCTTACAGGTCTGGATTGCATTCTCAAGATCCCAGCTGCAGGCCATTTACTGATGGGTACATACTGTGAGGCAACACGCCAAGAGAACTGTAAATCATTCAGAAGAAATGAGAACTGTGAAAGAATGAAGACAAGCTAGATATTGTCCCTACTTTGCTGTTAAAGAACAACTTTGTTGGACATAATATCTGGACTAGAAGCAGAATAAGAGAGGAGTAATAAAAAAGAAAAGAAACTGCTGCTAGACGCTCAACTATAAAAGAAATACTCCCTACATAGTTATCAAAATGAGTGCTGAAGGATATCAGTATAGAGCGCTGTATGACTACAAGAAGGAGAGGGAGGAGGACATTGATCTGCATGTGGGAGACATTCTATTGGTGAGCAAAGGTGCTCTGATGGCTCTTGGTTACACAGAGGGACAGGAGCAGAGGTCAGAGGAGATTGGCTGGCTGCCAGGCCTTAATGAAACCACTCAGGAAAAGGGGGACTTCCCTGGGACGTATGTTGAGTACATAGGAAAGAAGTGGATATCTCCTCCCACACCCAAGCCAAGGCCCATCAGACCCTTACCTGTTGCACCAGGTTCCTACAAAGCAGAGGACTCTGACTCTGAACAAGGTGAGTGTAATACCCATCCACAGACTCTATAATATAAATGTATTTAAAATGAGAAATGTTTTTGGTCATAGAGAAAGTACAACTTTTAATATAGTTTTAGAACAGTTAAGTTCACACTACTTCACATCTAAAGATTTCTAACCTACCTTAGTAATTTAATTTTAAAAATACCAACTGCTGTTGTATACCATTTTTTTTAGATCAACAGTGGCATCGTTATCTACACAACTTTGTCGATCAATGTAATACAAGTAGTGTGTTGTTTTAGTCACATTTACCTCATTGTTCAACTCTGGTTTCACTGACTTTAGGCTACATTTTCCAGAAATAAACTAAGCAGTCTTTCGTCACAATTTAAATGCATAGAGACACCAGCAATTGACAAACCCTCGGTATTTCGAATGTACTATTTTTATATTCAAGTCTTTTTTTCACCCACATTCCAAATTAGCCGTCCTATGAGGTTTTTTTTCATTAATCTGCCACATCTATACCCTAATTAACACTGTTGGTCAAAAATTGTAAATGGTGGACATGTAATATTATTTAAAGGTGCCTATTTGTTTTTTGTGACAGACTGGCCTGATTTATTATACATAAAATCTGATTTAGTCAGTGTTTGAATGTGAACCAAACTTGGTCCCAGAGGACAGTGGTTCTGGCAAGAGTCCACCCGATTATACACTGGAGCATCTCATGTCAGCCATACGATACCAGTGCATGTCACCTGTGCTTCTTTGCACAGCCTTATCTTTTAGTTACCAGTTACCTTCAAATGGCTTGGGTAGATGATTTTGTATGGATATTTACTCTGAAAGGCTAAGATAGCCTTGCCAAGCTATCAAATTTTAAAAGAAATACGCATTCATGCATTGTAAAAACTGCCTTTGCTACCAAAATGTTTTACTTTTTATTGTAATTTTGAACAACCTAGTTCTGCTTTAAAGAGCAGCAGAGTTTTGAGATAACTTTGGTGTGCTGCTGTTAAAACACACTTTAGAATATATTGCAGTAAATAATATAAGGAGTATGTGTTTTTTTATTTGTGTTTCAGGTCAAAGGTATAAACTGAAATTTGAACCAGTACTTCTTGTAGCAATGTGGCTTACAAATGCGTGTCTAAAGCTTTTTTTTGCTCACCTAAAGAGCAACTGGAGTAGGGTTTCTAGTTTTTGCCTTTTGTGGTACAGCTGTGAAATTCTTCACTGTGGTTTGCAGGGTGAGCGAGGAGCTGTATGAAGGGGGCATGTGTAAGATGGCTGTGTCGTGGATGAGTGGCAGCGATCAGCCTGTAGCGAGGGTGAATGTAGCACCAGGAGAAGAAAAGTCTCTGTGTCCTCTTGGGCTATGAGAGTCAGAGGGGGATGTGAAGGGGCCCTGAGGTTGTGGGTAAAGGGAAAGGGAGGCCCAGTGCTAGCCAAAGTGTTGATGTACAGCAAAGTGTGCAAAAGGATCAGAACTGGAGCGAAGCTGGGGGCTTGGCAGAGGGGCTGAAGTAGGAATGGTGTGGAGGGACTAGGGCCCTACATGCACTGTGGGGCTTTGAAGAGGGGCTTGGGGCTCTGTGATGGAGGCAGGGCTGTTGCTGCTCCCAGAGTGTTTGTGATTTATTGCACACCACTGATGGATCTCACTCCCTTCCTCCTACTCTTCAGCTTTTTTTCTTTTTCCTCCTGCTCCTCCTCCTCTTCCTTCTCTTTTTAATGTTTTGATAGTTCCTACAGTCAGCTCTGGCAGGGAGAAAAGAGGTGGAGAATGGAGGCTTGGAGAGGGGCCTCTCCTCTCTGAGCCACAGGGGTTTACATGAGTGCAGCAGATGTGGACAGGGTAAGAGAGAAAGAGGAGAGAGCCGGGCTCTCCATTCCAGCTTCCCGGCTTTTTTTTATTTACCATAAAGTAGTACTCCTTTTCTGGGCCTTTTAGTTGAGAGAATATACATGTGTTTAAGCCCACTAACAAAACTTTGAAATGCATATCATGTCTTGACAAAACAAATGCATATAACTTAATCTTCAAAAGCAACTTTTGAACTCCACCAATATTTAATCTTAATTTAGATTGAAAAAGTCAAGGTAAATGTTATAAATGCAGTTAAGAACAGTTGTGTGATTTTCCTGTTTTACAGTAGTTAGGATCAATGGCAGTAAGTTTGTTTAAATGCAGTGGTAAAGGCGCTAAACCGGGGTGGCCAACCAGTCAAGAGGCTAAGAGCCACAATTTTTACCGTGTTACTGCAAAGAGCCATATAATACACATGGGCACACATGAACTTCCCCATCCCTTTATAAAAATAAAATACAACTCTGCCTCTCTTTTAAAATGTCCTGTACACATCTGTTATCTGTGCGAATTGGGTTTATCCTAAGTAATTTGCATCAATGCCCATCAGCATGAGATTCACATAACGTAAAAAAACCCCACAAACATAAAATAGCATGAGATTCACATAACGTAAAAAAAAAAACCCACACACATAAAATCGACATGAATGTAAGGGCCGCATGAAAACGGGCAAAGAGCCGCATGTGGCTCCCGAGCCACAGGTTGGCCATGCCTGCTCTAAACAGTTAATGTTTTCATTGTTGGCTATAATTGCCCTTTATCTTCTAACAGCCAGTCTGCGTGAACATTCTTCCAAATGTTAGAGATAAAAAAAAGTGAATAACTGGTTGTTACTCTGCATGCTCTCACAGGGTTCAGCCTGCATGCTCAGGCTTGTTGAAAGAAATATTTGATGCTATACAACCTACTACTGCAACACGGAAGCTTCTCTATGTGCTTTTGTGAAGCTGGTGCTGCTGTACATTACTGCTATTAGACACTGCATGTAAACATCTGAAAAATCTGTGAAACTTCAGAAGCTTTCTGGTCCAAATACCCCTGGGACATTTTAAAAGTGCATTGGTTTATCAAAACGTGTTGTGTTTTCTTAGTTAGATTCTATTATGTACCACATATAAGTAGGTGGTAGCTGACAGTTAATGCCTGTGTATAAAATTACTTTGGTGAGGGCTTTCTGGATAAAAAAGATGAGGCTGTGCAAAAGAGCCAGTTGCAGAATATGCTGCATAGCTGGAGATTGAGATAACATAGCTCTCCTTCTCTGGGCCTCTTCAGCACTCGGGCTGACATCTGCTGTAGTCAACACAATGTCAGTGCTGTTGATTTTTCACCTCTCCTTAAGCTGAAGTTGTCTGACAACCCATGGGTTGTATTTCTGTTGTGATATACTGTACGTTTATACATGCAGTTGGTGACTATAGCCCACCTACCGGCACCCACTTTAGGTAAAAAGGTACTTCAGTTTCAGTGTTCTACTTCTGCTTCTCCTTTTAGACTTGCATTTAATTCACGTCCTATTTCGTTCCAAATGTTCTTTCTGACTTCACCATTGCTGTGACCTAAGTGAAGTAATGTCACAGATGTTTTGGTGGTTTCACCAAGATTCTATTAGTTTTTGGTATTCTTTTGTATTTGAATTAGGTAAAATGTAAAAGAGTGATTCCACATTTTGTTCACATTAGACTCAAGGTGAATATTGGACTGTTTGTTTTTCCAATACATATTTATTCTTCATGACAAAAGATTTATCATATTAGCTCTTCTGTGGTTGTCGCTGCGTCGGCATTTTCCAGTGCGGATATGTCAACACTGAAAAGACTATTTCTGCTCTTGCGAAACCATACAAAATGAAATTACTATATATTTTTTCTGCTTCCTTTACTGTTCCAAAATAAAATAAATGTCATGATTAGACCCTGCAGATCACAAGACTGACAATTTATTTGTATAAGCGACTTAAATTTGACCCAACTCTTCCAATGTTGAGAATCCTAACTCCTGACCTCATGCAGCCTCATGGATTTGAGGTAAATGTCTTCAATTAAACTTGTAACTGGAGACTCACAGCATTTCAGAAAGTGTTCTGTTGTCCTTCCAACACTTACATTGCATTAGTCATAGTGGTCAGAAGTTGTATTTTTATTGCCTGACTCGCGTGGATTTTTGCGCTACCTTCACCACTACCTTGCCTACGCTATAGAACCTATTGATCCATCTAGGTTCCACCATTTAAAACAATCAGGCTGTGTAAAGTGGATTCAAACATAGACATAGTCATGGGTTCTAAACTCAGACAGAGGTGATAATGAGAGTGCAGACTGGTCCAGACAACAAAAAAGAAAAGAAATGCTTTTAACCACATGAGCTTACTTGGTAGCCATGACGGCTATTCTGTGTGTGTTGTTGGCAGCCTAACCATCCATTGCATTTAACTCGCTTTCACGGTCAACACAGCTTAAGCTCGATTCTGTAATGTTGCTCAGTGACAGTAAGAAATGCAAATACTGTAGGGACAGACCCATTTGTGTGCATTTGTGTACTTTTGCTTGGTTTTTATATTTATAATGTATATGTTAGTTAAAGGATTAAGCAAAACAAGAAATGTGACAAAGAGCTTCAGTAAGACAAAGGTGTTTTTGATGAAAAAAATCAAGGAGTGAAAAGTCAAGGAGAACTCAGTCAGTATTTCAAATAGGCAGTGTATTTTGGGGGAGGAGGGCAAGCTTGTGTAGGTGTGCATATGTGTAGGTATGTGTGTACTGTGTGAATTGCTGAGGTGTGGCATTACATAACAGTTTAAGCATGATAGAAGATTTTTTTCATTCTAAACGCTTAAGCGATATTTCAACTGCTACTTATTCATCTTATATCTGTCACAATGCCAGTCAGTTGTGTTGCAATGGAATCAGTTTCTTCACTATTCTGTATCTTTTATGGTGCAAGTACTTGGAACTGCAGAGCAGTACACAGTGAGGCTGAAAGAGAAGTTACAGCAAAACCCTTCAGTATAAAACTCTAATCCCATTCACACAACTTGAAAACGTTCTGACTTACATATCTTTACATATTACTGTTACAGCTCATTCTCTGTTACATTTACTTGTGTTTTACTTCAATTAATTTTATTTTTTTCTTTAAAATGCTATTACTCAAAGTGTATCAAATTTTCTTTTAAATGACTTAGCTGTTTAAGTTGAGCTGCATTTGCAAGTAGCATTATAATTTAGTGAAACTTGAGCCCAAAACAATATGTTCTATGAATTAAATACATTTCCATTATACTGCCACATCCCCAAAAGTGTGTCAATGAGAAAATACTACCTTAATTTGACTACAAATACTGGTGTGCAATATTTTAAAATAGCTGTCACACATGATAATATATCACACTGGTATTGACTTATGTGGTTTGTGAATGGTTCCATGCACATTCAGCACAAACCACCTCTCCCTGCAGTCATGGCCTTTCATGATGGCTGCTGCCAGTAACAAGACAGAGGTGTGATTTTCATGCAGGTTGCATCAGTGGTGGTCTGCAGCTAAGATAGGGTTAATTGTCAACGTGTAGCAACAGTCTCCTCATTGGCTGTCACTTTAGCTTCTGCACTACATCGTGCATCCAACAGGAGGAGACATTGCCTTCCCTTTTTCCTTTCTGGCTTCAACTAAAAACCATATAAAATGTGTGTTGATAGAAGAGTCCCATAATACTTTTGTTATTGTACACCTGTGAGGTGGTTTGTTACTTAATATGTCTGTCTTTTTTAATAAGAAATTACACCAATGAAACATTTACACATCTTATAAATAATTCACAACTGTGGATTTCTAAAGTTGTGGGTCATGACCGAAAGAACGAGATCAAGGATTCAAGCGGCTGAAATGAGCTTCCTCCGCAGGGTGGCAGAGCGCTCCCTTAGAGATAGGGTGAGGAGCTCTGTCACGCGGGAGGAGCTCGAAGTAGAGCCGCTGCTCCTCCACATCGAGAGGAGTCAGCTGAGGTGGCTTGGGCATTTACATCGCATGCCCCCCGGACGCCTCCCTCGGGAGGTGCTCGGGTGCCGTCCCTCTGGGAAGAGACCTAGGGGAAGACCTAGGACACGCTGGAGCGACTACGTCGCTCGGCTGGCCTGGGAACGCCTTGGGGTCCCCCCAGAAGAGCTGGAGGAAGTGTCGAGGGAGAGGGAAGTCTGGGTGTCCCTGCTCAGACTGTTGCCCCCGCGACCCGGCCCCGGATAAGCGGTTATGGATGGATGGATGGATGGATGGATGGATTTCTAAACTTTATTAAAATTTGTACTTTTTGTTCTATGAAAACGTGCCATGCTTGTGATGATAGGATAATCCTCACTTGTATAGTTTTGATTATATACTAGTACTTTTGATGGCATACCATTGCAAGACCTTTTTTAGGAAAGAAGAAATTGTACAAATGTTGGTTACTTGAGTGGGTCCTCTAAATTTACCCTAAGTGAGTGCTATCTTTAGTTTGTCCACAGTGCCCCAGCGCTGTCCTGCCCACAGTCTGCAGTTTAGACATACCATTTGAGCTGGGGAGATTGTTCCCCCACAACAGCACACCAGTGGCAGCTGCTTTGACTTCCTAGACGTGTGGTTGACTGGCTTTCTGGGACATCATGTGAAATGTCTGCCAAACATACAAGCTTGTAGAGACATGTCCAAGAGGCCCCTGTCTGTACTTTCCTCTTCTAAATTGCTTCAGAAACCAGCTCATGTAGAAAATGAGAACAATCTGATGATATGTCTAAAAGTACCTAAACATATCATATGCTTCAGATGCAGTGCAGCAACATGAATCCATCAATACTACATTCACAATTAGACATGTTTTCGTTTGCTTTTAATTATATCCGATATATACTAACCTCTTATATCTTGATATTTTTATGTTGATATATTTCTACAGGAGATACAGCATAACATGGTATAATATTGAAATAATTTATTTTGGGTTAAAATGGCAATATTGTGCATGTGCCACAAGTTTGCACTTATTCTCCTCTTCCTTTCCTTGTGTCTTTACACACAGCATTTTGGCTCCACCTCCCTTTCTTTATGCACAAGCCCTCCCCCTCCACTCTCATCCACAGTAAGCAACAACTAGTGGTGAACGTTGCCTCACTTGTGACAGTACTGTGCTACACACATAGACAATACAGTCCAGAAAACACAGTAGGTTCCTTATTTAAGTTTGAATATAAGAATAATTTATAGCAAAATATTTATAAAATTAACTAGTTGTAAATTCTTGAATCAGCCTTGACCTTTTGCTTGACAATAGGCTTAAAAAAAGCTACCTTTTTGCTAAATTTAGTAATTTCTGTTCACTTGTGTTTCCATGGCTGCAAGACAAGGCCAGTGAGAGCCAGGGGGTCTTTGATTTTAGGCCAAGGCATCTTGGAAGTCATCGGCGATAGCTTGAAACATTTCTGTCATGTTTTGTTTGCTACATGATACAAAGACATTGGCACCACCACTATCCAATCGTTGACAGTACCAAGAAGCAACTCTATCTCCAGTGTACACTGTGTCACAACATCAATTCTTTTTGTTCAGAGGTTGTAAGCAGATGTGTTAAAACCCATTCATTGTATTGTTTTATTTTTGTTTAATTGTCAACTTAGACAAAGCTATACGTCAATAAGATTTTGCTTTGAGTCAATTGCATCGATGAACTGCGTAGAGTCGGGTGGTTTGGGAAGTTAATTTTAGCTGTGGGTTGTGATTTGAGTTTCTCAGAAAAAGGTTGGCTGTAAAATGGCAGCTGTGTTAGATATCTTGTCTGGGAGAAAGGTTACACTTCCAAGGTGTGCGATGGCAGCACTGCATGTCTCAATCTCTATTTAGGGAAACTTTGGTGTTCCATCTCAGACTTCACTGCTTCTGAGAAAACCCCCTCCTGTGTTTCAGTTCCAATAATGTCTTCCAGATGACTAGTTGTCCTACATGGAGTTTTTTGTGTTTTCTGTGGTTAGAAGGACTTTAGTAATCCAGTTCCTTCACACGCAATAAGCCAGCCTGTGTTTTGTGCAGGTCAAAGAGGATGTGGATTTGGATGAAGTGCTTCATTATTTGCATGAGTGAACACTTTTTGGTAGGACTGTGTAAATCTCTACTAATGACTAACGCGCATGCATAACTTTGAACTACACTTGAAAGTTTGGACGTGTGATCATTTTTAAGGTAAAAAGAAAGACAAACATAGTTCCTAGAAAGACTTCCATTCATACTTTTTGAACATTTTCAACCTGCAGACATAAAGTTAAACAGTCGAGTGCTTGAGTCAAACGCCCTTTCAAAATGAGTCTTTGCAAATCCAAATAAAAACCTTTGCCAACCATAGTATCCTTTCATGTCCACACCTGGGTACAAAGTTCTGAAGGAACAAATTAGGAGAAAAAACTGAGACCTGGCTTACCTCATATCACACAGTATTTGCTCGGGTTGGTTCCTCAGTACAGTTTGGTTTCACAGCACTAACATCTCATTTTAAAAACAAAAATCAGTCTTTTGTAAATAATTCACCTTTTTTACATGTGAAGACTTTGCTCTGATCTTGTGCCTGCTTTCCTTTCAAATTCCCCTCAGCTTGTATAAGTTCATAAATCATGCACCAAATCAAAAGTTGTTTGTTCATCAGTCGCATTCAATTTTACAAACATCCAGATCTGCAGTTACTGAAATGTTCAAATGGACTTCACCTGCAGTGAATTAGTCGTTATGTCAAATTTGATTATTGCTTTTATTTGCAAATTGTGTAAAAATAAAACCATCTATTGTCTGTGTTGCCACCAGTCTCTGGACAAGATGAAACAAGTGGAATCTTCTTTTAATGGTCCCTTTTGGATTATCCATAATAAACTACTAATCAAATGTGAATAGATAGAGTTCAAAGTTAACTTCTTAAAATATAAGATATTTTTGTGCTGTAAAAGCATTTCTTCATTTAACTGAGCAATGTTTACTCCTTTTAAACCTTCTGCATACAAAACAGTACAATTAGTGGTTAAAACGCAGTGTTTGAAAAATAACTGTTTTCATTGATTTTTTTTTCACTAATGTGTGGTAAGTGCTAATAACTTGACTGACCATTTTTATGTTTTGTTTTTTCAGGTTGTTTGTTGGACTTGACTGAACAGTTTTCACTTCCTGACACTGCTCCACCAATGTTGGTCAAGCTGCTGGAAACTATTGAGAAAAAAGGTAACTTTTAACAAAATGAAGCATTAGTTTACACACTCCTTTAATCAATATTACTTTACTGAGGGGCCTGTGATCAAGATTACAATAACAATACATGTTAACTAACAGTATGTCACTGTTAATTTGCAGGTCTTGATAGCCCCACTCTGTATCGAACATTTACAGCTGGTGCTGGATATGAAGTCAGGCAACTCTTTGAATGTGGTAAGTTGCCTTTTGTTGGCAACCTTTTGTGACTGAAAGTTGCACGTGATTTAAGTTTATAGTGAAATGCAGTGCATACAGTGTGATGTACACCAGGAATTCAGATGGCCTGGATCCGTCTCTGTGTTTTACCTTCCGTATGAACACATTTTCAATGCAAAAGCAAAAGAACACCAATTAAATACTGGTGTGGCAACCTGACAAATACTTTACAAGTCACTACCATAAATGCTGTAGCAACATTCAAATGAGCCTATAGCCCACTGATTAGTGAAAGTAAAGCTTTGCTGTAAAACTGCTTAAGGGCAGAGTACATCTATGCACAGGCTGGACTTTCACCATTTTTAGAAGACAAGATGAGATTGCGTAATGTAGCATTTATACCTTTTTTAATTCACTGTATTAAAGCAGTGCCACTGATTGCTCTGTGTTGCAGATCTTCCCACAGCAGATCTGGATCAGTTTGATCTTCCCGTCCTTTGTGATGGTCTGCGCAGGTACCTACAGGATCTTCCACAGCCCATCATACACTCTGCAATACATGCTCAGATGGTCCTCACGGTCAAAGGTGAGAACGAAGGTCAGAAATGAAACTATGATTTTGTTTGTTGATAAGATTGGCCTGCAGTGTGAACCACGGATGTCATGTACCTCAGTGATGCCTTAGAACACTGAGTACTCTGAACACCAAAACACAAATTAACACCTGTAAGGCTTGCAATTACATTTGTTGAAAGAAAGACTGTAGATGTAAATGTACTTTCTACAGGTTTTTTTTGCCATTCATTTTGCAAACAAACCTCTCACACAACACTGCATTGCTGCATTCTCTTGCAGTCACATGGCCAGAAACAGGATATTTGTGGTTGATAGGAACTAAAACAAGCCTGAAAGTTTATCTCTAGCATCGCTGAGCAACCAATCATCTGCGAGTGTACCTTACGCTCATTGTCAACCACACAATCTCTCTGTGGTTTTTCAAACCAAACTGCACAAGACAATTTTCCGATCACCTCATTGTTCTTCATTTGAACTCTCCCCCTAAGTTCTAATCAAGGCTTTGTTACATTTTCAGTTTTTCACATTATGTCTTGCTGATCTTTTGCCTGTTGACATTAACAGAAGTGGTAAATAGTGAAGAATGTGCCCAGCTGCTACGTCGTATCTCCAGCACCCCGAGTCTGCCTCCCCAATACTGGCTAACGCTGCACTGTCTGTTAAGACATTTCGCTAGAGTCTGTGAAAATGGCTCCAAGAACCTGCTTACAGCAAGAGCCCTGGGCGAGATCTTCAGTCCTATATTTTTCAGACAGCAAACCACCAGGTGGGTGTCAAAGTAACCGCATGCCAATGCTGCATACTGGGGCCTGTCAAAGATAGACTTTCAGACAGCAGACAGACAGGCAAGTCGACTCAGCCATACAACACTAAGACATACAAGCCCAAACATGCTCCCATGCAGACACACAGGCGTGCACGTGCATATGAATTCAATGTACATCTGTCAGGCCCATAATGGGTTTCAGCAGTATTTAGATAGTCAAAAGTTGGAGGATTTGTTGAAACACAAACATTAAATCTTTGTCAGTGCCAAAACAGTAAACCAGGACTATATTTAACAAGACATTTCTCCCTTCAGTTGTGAACCCAGTCTGGATTCTCACATCAAGATCATTGAGCTTCTGGTGACCAGTGAATGGAATGAAACTCAGGCTGCTCCAGGTACTGGCATATTTTTTATTTTATGGTAAAAACATTCTGCTTGTTTACCTTTAGAAAGGTATTTTAACATGGGTTCCTTTTTTCTGTTTGTATTTCTTTTTAATTCAAACAAAAAATGTTTCCAAGCAAATATCACATTTATTCCCTGAAGCCAACATTTCTGTAGCAATATAATCCTCATAAAAATGCTTCTTGGATAATATTAATATAATAGTTATTGTTTAGCCTGTATCATCTTCTATCCTTCCTGCCGTTCTATTCACTTAATCTCTCTGGTGCACAGTTGCAGTGTCTGCAGCACATAAATCAGCGCCTGCAGTGCATACATTCATGTGTCCAGGGGTTAATGCAGCAGAAATCCTCTTTTATATTCTGACTCTTAATGTCAATTGCAGAACTGCACAAAGTCCATTTTCATGGCTGTTTTATTGGTGGTCCGAGTAGATGGTGTTTATCTGATGATGTGAGCTACACGGCACAGTCATGTTTTTACAGTACTAGTTAAAAGCACTATCATTGGCTTGGCCAGAGGAGACTGGCCGTTTAAACATTTTATTACCTGTTAGTGCTATTTATAATGTTCCTGTGCAGGGCCCACGCTCAGCTGTCAGTAATTTGCACCTGCAGGAGCATTTTGGCAGTGCGACAGAAGGATGCATGAAGCATACAATGAATGGGCAGTTGGGTATAGACCAAAACCCTTAAATTCTATACGCACGCTGGCTCTGACATTGGTGCGTAGAACTCAGGACTTGCCTTAGGTATTTCAAGCCTAGTCACCAATGTCCTACAGAAGTCAGTATTTTAAGGAGAGGAAAGTGGAGCAAGTGAGAGGCGGAGAGAATAGACTTCTTCGAAAACACATATGTACATTCTGTACATATGTTTCTGTGAATGACCCATGTGTGCTCAGCCATGTGTGTGTGCAGGTCGGGGTGTGTGCATGTCTCCTCCCAGTTACTGCGTGCCTATTTTAAGTGACCAACAAAAGGCCCACTTAGATCTGGTTGGCTGGAGAGTCAGCCTACTCCACAGAGCTCTTCTTGTTAACCGAGGGCTGCTTCTGGTTTCTATGACTGAAACCCCCCCTCACCTCCCCACCTCTAGTCCTCACTCTGTCTAGATCTACACATGTCCTCCCTGCCTCAAAGTGCCCAGCTCAGCAAATATTTCAAACTTTGCAAGTTAATCATAAGTCTGAATCACCCCAGCCTCCTCCTTTACAAACAGACCGAGGTAGAGGGGGAGTGACTAAAGAGAGGGAGAGAAACACGCAGACACACACCGGCACGAGTAGCTGCTTTCAGAGAAGACAGAACTGACACCAGAGCAACTACTGTTAATCGTTAACTATCTTCCGCCATGTGAGCAGGGTTTAGCCTTACAGAGCTCAGAGAGAGAGAGAGAGAGAGAGAGAGAGAGGAGGAGGAGGAGGAGGAGACTTGACCTTTTACCAAACTTGTAGCAGGGACCTAGCAGTCAGAAATCTAGAGATTTGCGTGTTGCACCTGATTTGCACCGAGTGGATTACCTGGATTTTATTAAGAAGCTCGCAAAACTGTAGCTGCCTACGATCTAAAACACAAGTGACATCTACCTTCACTGTGGCCTAAACTATGAAATGGAGCTTTGCTGGAGGGCTTGAATGTAATGTCTCTGGATGTAACTTAACTTTGGGGAATAAAACAGAAGCTATAAGGAAGAAGCTGTCACTTCAAGAAAAAATGCACAACATGCAGCGTAAGTCTGGTGCTGTGAGCTGTTTGTATTTAAACTGCCTCTTTGTGTCAGTTTTCACAGAAGTGTAATCAAACTGTTAAACTGAAATTTTCACAAGTGGATGAATATACTCTACATCTATATAACTCCAAGTTAAATAGATGTTAAATTGCTCTAAAAATTGCTTTTCTTTTTTTAGACTTTAGATCTTCTGTTGCTAGATGGCATACATTCAGTATTTTTCAAACTGTAAGAAAGCATAAAATATTTTTGAAGGAAACAATTTTCTTTTTGCTGAATAAAGTCCTTGTATATATATGTGTGTGTATATATATATATGTATGTGTATGTATGTGTATATATGTATATATGTATGTGTGTGTATATATGTACACACACACACACACACACACACACACACGTGGAACATGTTCCTTATAAATCATTACACTTTACCAAGTACTAAGTCTGATTTAATTTCAGGCAGTTATCCGTGTCATACTGAGTGTCATGCTGTGGGATTACAGGCGTATTTTGGAGCTCTGAGTCCCGCTGACCAGGCCAGGCATTATAATTTAGCTGCGTACGTGCTGCTGCAGCAGAGCTGGCTTTGTCTGAGTGCCAGCAGTGGGACGGACTAAACCGCTGCACGAAATGCAGGGGAGGAGCCGAGCAGCCTGCAGGAGAGTGATCAGGCTCAGAGAGAGTGAGAGATTGGGAGGATCAGAGAGAACAGGCATGGAACAGGTCCTCTCCCCCCACTGCCAGTGAGGAGATGCTACACACTCATTTTTAAGATGGAGACGGATGGATTTGTTTTAGTTTAGCTGCAGTGCTGTAAAGTGCAGAAGGAGGGAAGTAAATATAAAAGGCTTTCGGAATGACCTCACCTATCTCAGGAAATGAAAGATGCAGGAGTGGTTGGTGACAGACCCCCGATGTGATTGGCTATGGTAAGTGATGTAACACGTTACTGAGCAGGCTGCTCTTATTGGTTTTGGAAATTGCTGTTTAGGTGGTCTGGTAACAAAAATGTTGCCTCTTTAAAGAGACGTTTGCCATCCATTATATATTTTAAAAAATATGTGCCTTTGTCATGCACATACATGACAATAGTGGTCTGATCACTTGCCTTGGTTTTATATTTATAAGTCAGGATTTTCTGAGGTGAAATGAGGCAGTCAAGTGCGTTATAAATATACATGTGGCTGTATTGCTGGTTTTGTCTTTGGCTTCATTTGTTGGATGCATATGATAAAGCTTTTTCTTTTATGCTGTGTCACAGATGGTCACTGTGTGGCAAATGAACAGTTGCTTGCAGCCTTCAGAAGCTGTGCTGCTGCAGCACTGGTGTTAATGCAGAGGCAGTGAACAAAGTCAGTGCAGATTTGTGGGTTAAAAATAGCCTGCTACCTTAGTTCTGCCACTGCTGGCTGTACTGTGAATCTGTCAGCTGGTCAGCAGTCACTGCAGACTTGAAATGCTTTATAGAACCAGTCTATCTCCATTCAGGGCACACATGCCTATCCAGTCTTGAGTCTTTGTGCTGCCTTCAAGCTGTAGTAGAGAGAGGTGGTTGTGGTTGGTCAAACCTTTTAAACTGAACACCTGATGGAAAAAAACAGTGGTACAAAATCTATTAGATCATTTTTTATTCTGCGGATACTACTAAAAATCTTAAATGGATATAATCATTTTTTATAATATCATTTTTGCATTTCATCATTGTTTTGTTCCTGGTGATGTTAAAAGCTTTGTCTCCTTGACAGCTAAGAAAATTTATAGACCCCCATTTTTTTTGAATGAAATTGAGGCAATGACTCTCACTCAATCTCTCCTCCCACTGCTTAGGCATTAGACTCTTTCAGCTGGAAAGGGGCGGTATTTTTCCAGTTCTATTGAATCAATGGGGCTGAGAGACAGAGCCATAGAGTGAGAGAGAGAGGGTGCGGGGGGAGAGAGAGAGAAAGAGAGAGACAGACAAACAGAGAGAGAGAGAGAGAGAAAGACTGAGCCTTGTGTGAAACTCAGAGCTTCTGCAGCGTTTGAATCTTTTGCAATAAATAAGGTGGGAACTGCTTTGTGGCTGTCAGAAGTGTATTTTGTGCCCTCTTCTCCTGAGACAGAAAATCAAAGATTTAAGATGAAGTGCTATGATATAAATGCGAGTGGACACAAGCATATCTCTCCCACTTCTTTGTTCATTTACATCATGTGCTCTCTCTTCTTGTCATCACAGCTCTACCTCCTAAGCCACCCAAGCCCACATCTGTGATGAGCAACGGTTTGAATAATAACATGGCTCTGCAAGACGCCGAATGGTACTGGGGCGACATATCAAGGGAGGAGGTCAATGAGAAACTGAGGGACACTGCGGATGGTACATTCTTGGTGCGTGATGCCTCCACCAAAATGCACGGAGATTACACCCTGACTCTGAGGTGAGTTCCTGCTCCAATCTGTGTCTGTCTGTTAACGTCTGCAGGCAGTTTAATAACTGAATTACTCTGTACCTACAGGAAAGGAGGTAACAACAAACTCATTAAAATATTCCATCGAGACGGGAAGTACGGCTTCTCAGATCCACTGACCTTTAGCTCCGTTGTCGAGCTCATCAACCACTATCGCAATGAGTCACTGGCTCAGTACAACCCCAAGTTGGACGTCAAACTGCTGTATCCTGTCTCTAAACACCAGCAGGTGGGACGTCAGCAAAAACTATACGAACACATGTAAAATCTTGTTTATCTTTATGTTGAAGCGGTTTTCCTACAGTCTGTTGATTCATCTCTCCTCAGGATCAGGTGGTGAAAGAAGACAACATTGAAGCCGTTGGTAGAAAACTCTGTGAGTACCACCAACAATACCAGGAAAAGAACAAAGAGTACGACCGACTGTATGAAGAATACACCAGAACTTCACAAGTAAGTGCCACTTTCAACCTTACCATCTAATGTGGCATTTGATTGTCACACCCTCATAATATGCCCCGCTCTTCTAGGAAATCCAAATGAAGAGGACAGCCATAGAGGCGTTCAACGAAACCATAAAGATCTTTGAGGAGCAGTGTCAAACACAAGAGCGGTACAGCAAGGAGTATATTGAGAAATTTAGGAGGGAGGGCAATGACAAGGAGATCCAAAGGTAAAAGCAGTCTCCTAGTGTTTGTTTAACCTCCTGTTAGAGTTAACAAAACCATATTTAAACTTTTTTCTCTCTGATTTGTGTTTAAGGATCATGGGAAACTATGAAAAGTTGAAATCAAGGATAATTGAAATTGTAGACAGCAAACGTCGCCTGGAAGAAGACCTAAAGAAACAGGCAGCTGACTACAGGGAGATCGACAAGAGGATGAACAGCATCAAGCCCGACCTCATCCAGCTGCGCAAGACCAGAGACCAGTATCTCATGTGAGTGTTTCACTCTTGGTCTTGAAAACCGTACCCAGGAAAAACCCTGGTGTTAACGTCGCATGCTCTTTCTCACGCAGGTGGTTGACCCAAAAAGGAGTGAGACAGAAGAAACTCAACGAGTGGCTTGGAATCAAAAACGAGAACACAGAAGAGTGAGTTTAATTTGATTATGAATTTAACTGAACTGAAACTCCTTTTCAAACCTGGCTGCTGACCACTTTATTCTTGTTGCCAGTCAATATTCTATGGTGGATGATGATGAAGACCTGCCTCATCATGAAGAGCGCTCCTGGAAACTGGGCAACATTAACCGACTGCAGGCGGAGGCGCTCCTCCAGGGGAAGAGAGATGGAACATTCCTGGTTAGAGACAGCAGCAAGGCGGGATGCTACGCCTGTAGTGTTGTGTACGTATCGAAAGGCTGATGTTGTGTCTTTATTTTCAACACTTTTTACACATAGATTGAAGAATCAGTAAGAGTTATTGTTGAGAAGATATTCAACACTAACGCAAATTAGAACACCTAGAAAAGACTTGTTTTCCAGTCAGAAAAATAGTAAAATTTTAAATATCTATGGATGTTATGGAAACACAAAATCCATAAAATTTCATTTAAAATTTCAGTTTTCATTTGCCTTTGTCACTAGATGTTGTCTTTTAAACCTCATCAAGGACTTTGCACCTAAAGGCAAATTTACAAAGAGTGTGAAACGTGAAGACTTAGTCTGATTCCTTTGTTTATTTTTACAGGAATTTTCTGCCTGTTCTTACGAATAACCTCTCTCTACTTTTGTAGTAATGCGATGAAAAAAGACTAATTGTGCTTTTCTGCCCTCACAGTGTGGAAGGTGAGGTGAAGCACTGCGTCATCAACAAGACTCCCTCAGGTTATGGCTTTGCCGAGCCTTACAACCTGTACAGCTCCCTAAAAGAACTCGTACTTCACTACCAGCACACATCTTTGGTCCAGCACAATGACTCTCTGAATGTGACGCTAGCGTATCCCGTGTACGCCCAGCAGAGACGGTGAAGACCCGGATGTAAACTCATGGACACAAAAGAAGAGAGAGGCCTGAAGAAGGGAGCTGCCCATGCACCGTCCTTTGACCCTGTGATGAAAGTGCAGCCTTGACGCCTCCATCTCAGACTGTAACAGAGTCAAAGACGCAATAAAAGCCTGAAAACATTTCAACGACTCCGCCTGACGACAAGCCCGAGGCGCGTTTGAATGTAGATTTTCTCATTTGCTTTTTTTGGGAGCACAGAATCAAGCAGAAGCTGCTGAACTCCCGTCAGCGGAGGACGTACGAGGCCTTTTCCCCAACGGTGCTTGTTCTTTTTCAAAGCTTTACCAGCCGGAATGTTGACTCGCAGCAGACGAACTCTACAGATTAAACTGTACACACCGGCCACCGCCACCTTTGTTTTTCCACTTGACTTTTTTTTTTCTTCCTTTACTGCGTCATTTTAAGTGTGTGTCCTTGTTTTTCGCACAAGTGATGATGTAGGTGAGTGTGGCTGAGCGAGAGAGAGAGAGAGAGAGAGAGAGAGTGTGTGTGTGTTTGTGCGTGTGCGTGACTGTCCATGTGACCAAAACTCATAGAATCAGGAAACTGTGTGATGTCATGGGGGAGGGGGTGGGGGTGTGTAACACATTCACTTGTGTTAACATGTTCAGTAGCAAAACCATGGATCAGCTGATAAATGTAGCAAAATGGCACTTTTAAAAAAAGTTTTTTTTTTTTTTTTTTTTTTTTTTTTTTGAAAGACTCCTATGTACTTATATGGACTAAGCAGAGAGGACGCGTCCTGCCTTTAAACTGTTGAGCCTCGTAGTGAACTTGATAATGACTGTGGGTGGCTCAACACTATGAATGGACTCAGTATTTCATGTCACATCTCTGGAAATGTGTAAAGTCACGCAACGGAGTGCACCGTACCAAAAAGGATCAGTTCCTGTTGACTTGTTTATTCTAACCTGCTATGCAATTTTTTCTCAGTTTTATTTCTTCCTTCAGAAATGTTTTTATTCTGTTGCAAGCCACAACATAAGCTTGTTTTATTGTTGGTGAAAATGATTTTTTCCTGTGTAAATATCCCAGAGGATATTTTGTGTCAAATTGCCAATATATGGTAAAAAAAGAAAAAGAAAAAAAGAAACAAACTTGCTTATCATTTTAAAAAGATAATAGAAACTCTTTATCGTGGTTTACTTTAACAACTGCTATACAGATGGAGTAAGTATTTTATTAGTCTTTTGTTCAGTTGTTGCTTCAAACTAATTCTTCTCAGGCAGAACTTTTTGCAGCGTCAACTTTCTTGCTCCATTTGGTACGGAGTTGAGCCTCCGTAGAAACGGACGCAGACAGTTTGAGTGCTCAGAACAGGGCGAAGGGATTGCAGGACCCTCGTCATCCATAAACACGGAACCAGTATAGATTTATTTTGATATAAAATATCTATGTTCCCACAGGAGAATATATGAAAGTAGACTGATGGATATTGTTATTAAAGATCATGTACATTGTCCACTAAGTATTTTTCTGTATCAGAAAATCACTGTGCTAACATGGGTGGATCAGCTCATCTAAATAATACTCTATATTTCACTTTTCAAAAAGAGAACACATGCCAGTGGAATCTTTTTTTTTTTTTACCTTTGTTCTTACTTGTGCAAGTTCATTATAAAGTGATTGGTACGTATGTCAAAACCAGGAAGACTGGTGGCCACCATGAAGCATTGTGTGTTTAAATAAAAATTCAAAATTCAAATTGGAACATTCAAGTAACAGAATGCCCGCAGTTTATGGAATTCCCATTAAAATGTATACATAAATATAAATGATGTATACGAGGTACAAGCCTGGTCAGCAGAGCTGTGGAGGTAGTCTCTTCCTGTATCCTTGCGTAACAATTCTTGTAAATGTAATTTAGAACATCGCCTTCTACGGCACAATTGCTATTTGTTGGTAAATGTCCACACAGAAACAGGCTGGTAATGAAAAATGCCTGAAGTAAAAAATTAAAAAAATTGCTGTATGAGATAATGACCAGTTAGCATGGAAAACAAAGCTGTAGTGGATGATTGTTGTACAGCTTCTGTACACGGCCCTGAGTGTAAAATATTCAGGCCAAATGAATTTGTAGCACATTAAACCTAACCACCATTTAAAACCTAGACTATACTTTTAAAGCCATTAACAGACGATTAGTGTCATTTCTGACATTTCTTGTACTTAGTTGTCATTTCACTGAAATTAACCTCCCAACAGCTGCTCGCATGAATTTTGTTACTTGATATATATCTGTATATATATCTTTTTTTTTCTTTTTTAGTTTTTTTGCATCATGCTCTATTAGTTTTTCCCCCTTATCTCAATTCTGTCAGTATGATCATTTTAGACAATGTTGTTTTTTTTTTTTGGTATTCTTTTTTGTCCCAAACATCATGATTGGAATGAGATTCAACAGTATTCCCCAGTGTTTTGCTTCAAATCTGTATTGGGCTTTAATTAAAAAAAAAAAAAACATAAAATAAAACACTTCTTGATAAATAAGTATTGTTTTTGCGTTGTTATTGTGACTAATTAAAATTTGAATCAAGATATAATTATTTTCCTTTTCCCCACACAGAACATGTAGAACCTGTGTCTCCTGAAGTCTTCAGTTGTTTTCAAAGAACATATATGAAAAACTATTTTGTAATTGTTTTTTGTTTGTTTTTTTTTAGAAAAAAAGAGCATGAGCACTGAGAATGGTGTCCCAAAGACAACCCAGTGGTGAAGTGGCAGGTGCTTTTGCCTTACAGCCTGAAGGTAGGCAATTCAATCCCTTGTGATTATTGTTTGTTTTTTCCACAGTCCAAAAACATCCAGATTAGTTTAACTGTTCACTCTAAATTGTCAATGGGTGTGAATGGGGTTGTGAATAGATTAACTGTTCACTCTAACTCGATGCCTGTTGGTCGATGCCTGTGGTTAAAGCACATTAAGCAGTTAAAAAATGTGACAGTATTTTGATAGTATTTTACAACATATAGCGTTCATAAAGTATATTGTTGCTGTTATGACATTACAAAAAGCAAAAATGAGAGATGACAACATTCGATTGAAGTGAAAACATAGTCAAAGTCAAAAATAGATTTTTCTGGGATCAATAATATAATTTTGAAATCTGTAAAAAAATGCCCAGAGCTGTGTAATAGTTAACCCAGACAGTGTTACATAAACTCACCCGTATACCAGGATGAGCACATGACCAGACTTTGGACTGGGTGAAGTCCTGTGACAATGAGGTGATATAAATTCTTAGTGTGTTCTGTTCCTAGAGCAAAGACTTTTATAAAAACAAACATTGATGTCATACAACAACATCCCCCTGGTCAGAGATTCAGTGGGAAACGGTTTAACCCTTTATGACATGTGAATTGATAAAAGTACAATCAAACCACTATGAGGAAATGAAAATGAATTTTTCTGGAACAAGTTTCACAAAAATTTTTTGAACCACAAAAATATATGATTAATTATTACATTATTATTACATGTAAAGATACTAATGAAAGGTCAATATTTTGTCTTGCTTGCTACAGGATTTGACGGAGAGGCGGCCAATCAGGAAAAACATCCAGTCAGGCAAAGGCTGGACATTGCTGACAACCATAAGAATCAAAAGAACAGTTTATTTTATCAATAGCTGGTATTTTTTAAAAATACCAACAAATATAATACTCTTTTTTTTACTACAATTTAGTAGAAAAAGCAAATCATCTGAAAGAATACTCAATTGAGGATTTGAACAAATTACCATGCTGTTCAGTGACTACCTACTTACCAGATGCATTAACCACTCAGCCACCAGGGCAGTGAGAGTTTATGGAGAAATCTGGCCAATAAAGAACGTGATGATGTTCAGCTCAGCCTCATATTATCTGTTCCCAAACTTTATCAACGAGAGAAATATTTTTGTTGAAAATGTCTGTGAAAAAAACATTTTCTTTTCTGTGTTCTCAGTGTTTGAAGTCAAGTTTGAAAAAGATCGTTTTAAAAAGTCATTACTGAAGATGGTCAACAGTGGAAGGACACTGACCTTCAAACATGGAGACGTGGGTTCAATACCCGACAGGTAAAACACACTGGAGTTGTTTGTATGTGTATGTGTGTGTGTGAGGTTTCAAAACTAAGAACTAAAAACTCAAAATCAAACCCAAACCAAACAAACAAAAAACTTGCGTTTGCGAATCGTTGCGGTGCGTTGTTGCGTTGCGTCGTTGTTGCGTTGCGACAAAAAAGAAAAGGCTGGATCAGCCTTTTGTGTGATTTACTAAACAAAGTTAAAAAAAACAAACAGACATCAATAAATCATTTTAAATTTAACATCACCTGTAATGTCACTGTGAATGTTTTTTAAGTCGAAACTACAATGTACCAATCAAATGTCTCTGATTTTCCATCAGAGATTTTGGCTACAGACTTTGGTGTCACAAAATTAATGAACATTTTATGAGACACATGCAAGAAAAGA